TAGATGCCTTCTGACGTGCCGTGGCGAGGGTTCTTCTGCAAGCATATGTCTGTTTGTGTGCTAACACGATGACACCCTACTAGGAATTGCTTGCAGAGTATTATGTTATGCTCCTTAATCGGGAGCATATGTGCCTCGTCGCGCAGGTGATGTTAAGCCAAACTTAAGAAGGAATCCTGTCGCTGTCTGAGTGCCGTGTTTTGGCAGGTCTGCAGCTTCATCCTCTGCGTCCTACTAGTTCCCGGTAACCACACAGGCGCTGCATAGTTCAGAACCGGCGGGCCAGTTGCCTTGTACGTTGCCAAAAACGTTTCTTTGTCTTTGCCCCAGGTGCTCCCGGCTAGCGACTTGAGGACTTTGTTGGGGCTTTGCACTTTATTGACAATTGCGGTTGTATGCGCCGAGAAGGAGAGCAGATTTTCGAAGGTTACTCTGAGCAGTTGGACCTCCTTCGTCCAAGTGGTGAAAAGCGTTGCTGAGGATTTTGTAGGGGAGAGGGTTAGGCTCCGTGCAGTGACGAAGCGAGAAAGCTCGGCGAGATAACCATTATCGAGCAATCGTCAGCATAAGAGACAATCGAGACTACATCTGGTGGTTGAGGGAGCTTAGAAATGTAAAAGTTGAACAGTAGTGGGGAAAGGTTTTTCCTAGGTTTGCTCGATTTGTCTCTAAAGATCACTGATGAGTTTCAGGTAATTCGCCGCCCACCGTTTGTCTTCTAGTAGTATTACTTGAATAGTCCTCTCACAGGGGTTTCGGTTAAGGCCATGAGTTATCTGGGTGTTTATGGCGTCAAGTGCTATTGTTGTGCTGTGCACTTTACGAAACCCATGTCGATGCTTCGCTGAGGTTCAGTAATTTGTGTAGTTCGGGAGCAGAAGGGTCTCTAGTGTCTTCGCAACCGGGGAAAGGAGAGCTATCAGGCGAGAAGACTCTCCTTTGTTGGACGGTTTCCCCGGTTTAAGCAGTGGAACCACTCTCCCCGTTTTCCAGATGTCTGGTACGATGAGAGTGGCCATAGACAGGTTGAGGACCTTGGTTAGATTGTCCACTACCACAGGCCCCAAATTTTTGAGCCTCAGCATGCAAATTCCGTCAGAGTCAATGGATTTGGAGACGTTTGCCTTCCCGATGGCTATCCTTTCCTCGTCGCTGCTGGAAAAAAGAGGCGCACTTGGTGTTTGCAGTTTGTGCAGCCTTCTGGTCACTCTACGTTGGGCTTTGTCCGCCGGAGGATGCAGTATGAACTGTCGGCTAAGATAGCTCGCGCATCACTCCGGATCGGACGAAGCGTGGTCGCCAAAAGATATTTCAACTCTGTCATCATGCTTCGTCGGATTGGACAATGACCTCACGGTTGACGAAATCTTGCTCACGTTGCCGAATCTCCGAGTTGGGAACCCCTTATACGGGGATTTACGGGATCGGCCTGGCGAAGGGATTATCCTTTTTGTTATTAAATTTTTCGTTATAGTTTTGGATTTGGAAGGAATTGGTTTTAACTTTTGTTCACTCTACAAAGACTCAAAATTGTTCACTCTATAGAGTACTCAATGGAAAAATTTTCATGTTCACTCTTTCGAGGTGTTCGTAGCATCGGGTGTTCACTCCAGCCAGATAACACTGTAGCTTTCTAAGAATATTGTAAATTTTGTTAACTAAGTACTTGGTGTGGTCAACGCACGTTAACCTTGAGTTTATCCTGAATCCTAAGTTTGTTACATTATCTTCATATTTAATATCTGTTCCATCAAGCGTTAGCGGAGAAGTACCGGTGAGGTCAAAATGTTTAGCCGATAGTGATATTGCCTTCGTCTTTGATGCATTCAGCTTGAGGTTATTAATTCTTGCCCACTCGGAAATTCGAGAGAGATCTTCATTAAGTCTGACAATCAGATCTTCAACAAGACCAATCGGCCTTGACAAATATATTTGAGTGTCATCTGCATAGAGATGAATGGATGAACTTTGGCAACACTCCACTATATTGTTTATGAATGT